CAGCCAAATTCCCTTAAAATGCAAGACAGTTATTTTATTTGTCAGATCACAGTCATTATGCAATATGGGAATTCAGAGGTAGTATTTTACCCACAAGAGGGAGCCTGTATTTTTTTATGTTTTTTACAATATAAAATGAAAAGTCAAATTAAAATGGGAAGTTCTAAATAATTATTGCTGACCTCATAATCTTCATGACAATAAAACTTTATGAAATCAGATTTAACTTGGCTAATTTATCTTTATAAATAATATTGTATTGGAAGATTGGGAAAAAGAATTAAAAATAAAATATTAAATCTATTGTAATTATATTGCTACAAAAATGAATATTCCTGTCCCAATAAACCACTGTAAGAAGAAATTATGTTAGTTGCCAAAACAACTTAATGGGATTTTTTTTTATTTTTAAATATGTAGAAACATTAGTTTTCTTAAACTGTTTTGAGTCTTTACAAGTATTCTACCATTTAGTTTAATTAGATAGGATGAGAATTGTTTTCTGTCATCTTCATTTTGAAAAGAGGCTTCTTAAAGCTATCTTCTCAACGCTTATAGAAAAGAAAAGATCCCATTTTAAAAGCCACTGCAGTATCACATTCTCACCAAAATCACTTACAAATTTGTCTATAGCAAGTCATAGCTCTGAGATGGTTTTGTTAACTTTCTTTACTTATAATGGATAAATTATGAGTTTTTAAAAATAAATCTAAATGTTAGTTTTTCTTTTCTCACCATCTCCCTCAATACCTTTCCATCATAAAGACTTCCTATATCAGTTAATATTTGTAAAGAATTGGAGGCCAGGAAAGTTTATGAATCACATTAGAAAAAATATTTATAGATACACTGAACATCATCTTAAAATGATTCTGCTCTTATTGTGAACAAAAATAAAATCTACTGCATTCAGGGTCATGGCAGCGAGTTGAAATTTTTTCATAATTCCTTCCTTGGAAGCACCACCTAAGACAGAAAGTAAGAAATATTTCTTCCCCCCTCCTGCAGGGTCCTCTTCTCAACTCTCAGCACTCCTGTAGTGCTTCCGACAAGAACAGGCGCTTGAGATAGAAGGGGTTAACAAGTGCCGTTCTTCTTTCTGGAATGTCCAACCTACCCATTAAAAGCATTTTTTTCTTAGGGACTGTGAGTCTAATGGACCCAAAATCAATACCTTATAAATGACATAGAAAAAAATATTCATTTTATAGACTAATGTACTTTAGTGCCTGAGTTGTATTTACACCCTCTACTTTAAAAAAGGAACAACAATTCCATTCCTGCCAGTAAAAGGTTGCTCAGTCACGCTGGTGATGCACTGCAGAAATTGACTGCCACCCCCGCCCCCCACATTCCCAAGTTTGAGAGTCAGGGGAGGGAGAATACAGCAAAACCTCACCTCGCTCATGGAGACTTTAAACAGGCTGTTTGGGCTTTTTCTTTGGGATTGCTTTTTTTTTTCTCTGAGATATTTTTTTTTCTCCAAAACAAACGTTACTTTTTAAAGGAATTCGGGATAGTTTGATAAAAAGCCCTGGGGGCTGTAGGACTGACTAACATGCAAAATTAACCAAACCAAAGCAATACAAGATTCCTCCATATCATACCACAGGCCAATGGATGCTAGACCAGCTTTTTAGATTGAAGGCATATTTTTCCCCAGACACAGCAGGGGACTATTTAAAAGCTGCCTAGGACCACTAGTTGGTAAACTTATGATAGTAGCACTTTGGCTTGCAGGGGAAAAGGCTAAAGAGGAGATTTAAACTTCACATATAGCATTTTAATCTGAAACAATGAAACCTTATTGTTAACAGAATTTAATAATACAGTGTCTTCCAAAGCCATGACAGCTTAAGAGCTGCAAGGGACCTTAGAGATCAACTAGTCCAATTTTCTCTTTTTAGGAGAGGAAGAAACAGACTCCTACCGAACAGAATTGACTAGCATAGATTACACTGAAATTGAATGACAGAGTCTGAATTAGAACCCATGTCCATTGACTCCAGAGCAATATATTGTCCTTGCCACCTTACATTACACTCATCACTCCTAAAGTAAGTCAACAAACATTTATTAAGCGATTGCTAGTACTCTTAAGGCTTTAAATTTAAATTAATTTTGCATAATGTAATGATAATTTTAAATCAAAGAAAAAGATGATAAATTATATTGAAAGAGACTTTTCTAGGGAAAAAAATTACTTGTGTTATTTCTTCATTCTAAAAGATACAGAGTAAAGTAGCTGTGATTAATGAATAGGGAAGCTAGTTAAAGGAGCCATGGTGCTATGCAAATTCTAGCAACAGGTCAGCCTGAAATTTCCTATTCAATTTTACTGGCTTAAAAAATCTATATGGTTATGAAATAAATTTTAAAAAAAACTCTGTTCTTTAATCCATTTGCCAACTGAGTCATTTATTCTCTATTAGATAAAGTATAATAGACTCTACCGAAAGGGTCACTGGCCTTCCATTTAATGATATTGCCAGCACCAATCTACATTTTCCCGGCAGTGTCCCTCAACACAGAATAAATGGCTGATCTCTTCACAATAACAGCTGATTTCTATTTATTAAGCTAAAAAGGTCACCATTTTCTACGGCTGGGCCGCCCTGCACTATTGATAATTTTATGCATAAACAAATGGCAAATTTGTGCCACATAAATATGCATTAGCAATTACTTTTTCCTCAAGCAACGCTCACCGCATGCAAATGTATACCTCATAGGGCCTAGTGGCTTTTGTTTTAGCTCTTGAACAGTGAAACAAAAGAGCACAATAAACAGTTTAAAATTGCCAATCAATAGGCAATGCAAATTCAAAGGTAAATGGCAAGAAACTTGCTCAAATACAACTAAACAAAAACATAACAAAAATGAGGTGGAGGGGTGATTGTGGAGAGATTTCTCTCTTTTACAAAAAAATTCCTTATTATATTTTTCTCCCTTTTGATAATGAAAAGGCTAAAGTACTCTTGACACCGTACAGCTAGGCTGGTGCTAAAGCAGATGCCAGATGGAGAAGTGGAAAATACACACAAGTTGAATAAACACACACACACACACACACACACGCATCCATATCCTTCAAGAGAAAAAGAATTGGAGAACAGCATGTTCAGAAAGTATTTCAGAGAGATCACCTACTCAAAGTACTGTGATTTCAGATTTTCTTTTCAGGTCTTTCTTTCTTTCTTTCTTTCCTCCCTTCCTCTCCCTCACTCCTTTTTCCCTCTTTCTTTCCCTACCTCTCCTAGTTTCTTAGGGAAAAATAGGGTTTAGCCTAAAAATATTCACTTTTAGTAGAAGTGAGAGTGAGCAACTATGAAATAAGAAATAACAAAGCATATACTCTTTCATTTGGGGGGAGTTTGAAACCCTTAACACATGAGTAAATCATCTTGCCAAAGATGTCATTCAAACTCAGTATATAACTAACATTTAAAGAGCTAGGTCAACTTTGCAAAGTTGACCCAAGCTGTTATATGTCTAAATGATTGTCAATCAAATAATCTCCTCTTAGAAATATGCCCGTTATGGACCACATACCAATCTCTACTCAAATACCTAGCTGGACCACCTTTCTAGAAAAAAAAAAAGTTAGTTTGTGTAGAAAAAAATACCTAAATTTTGAGGTTAGGCTGGCCTTTCCATTATTCCAACATTTCTGAGTATTCCATTTTTTTCAAATGTAGAAAACCAGAAACAGGTGGTGCTGGTAGCTTATTTAAGGAGAAGTGATTGGGAAAAGGTAGCAGTTTTTGTCTCTTATGAGAGCATAGGGATCTGTTAACATTAGCAAGTCTGCAAAAAAAAAAAAATTCCATAGTGATGGGTTAGTTGCCTTCAATTGCAATC